TATAACATTACTGTGATTTTTATTTCTTGTGTAGCTCTGGGTAATGGCAGTTTGCTGAGCCGTTGCCACTGGTTTAAAAAGATATTCCACTGCCAATATCTGACGTACGTGTTGTCCAGCGGTGGTGAGGAGGCTTCAGTACAGAAAAAAAAGGTAACTACACACTGTTAGCCTCTTTTTTTTATATATAGACACCTTTAGATAGAAATACGAATGAGAATTCGTATTAGAAATTCGATTTTCTTTTTTATTGCATTCCTAATCTGCGAGTCCTAGAAACGGAACCTATGGCACTCAGTCGGGATTATCGTATGGTGACAATAAAGAGGACTGATTTCCCTTTCTTCTCATTCACATCTATTAAAAAAAAGTGATATTTCGTCCGTCTTTGATTTTTTTTCTGAAACCTACGTTTTTTTTTATCATTATTTACGAAGCAGAAGGATCTCGATAATGTACTCTTTAATTTCATAATGGGAATGATGGATGGAGATGGGGTGAAGTATCTAACACTTACACAGCTGGCAGTACAACGGGATTATCACCATTAAGGATAGTCTGTTAGAGATGAAGACGTCCTTTTATTCCGTAATCTATGAGCAAAATGATTATGCGGGAGATTTCTGTGATACCTATATCTATATCCCTCCAAGACACCAAAGAAAACCTATTAAAGAGAAAAGTACAGCTACGTGGTTCAAGATTTTAATTTGCGCATTTTTAAAATTCTTTCTTTTTTTTTTTTTTTTTTTAGTAAAAGTGTGAAATAGTTACAACATTTTTTTTTTAAAGTTCGAATCTCTGACCAATCTCTTCAGCGACACTACCAGGAAGTCGTCTCTGTACAGACTAACATTGGTTTAAGAACACACGGACAGAAACGAAGTCGAAGGTCGGGTCACCAGCCACATTCGAACACGCCCAGCACCAGCATGGCGAATGTGGCGACGAAGATCTGTCGCGACGCGGAGAAACACGGCGATCCTGATGCGACTTCGGTGCTCTTGGGCCCCGGGTACACCTGAGGGGCGGCGCACGGGCTCAGCTGCTCCAGATCCACCGTGGAGATGGCCTTCCCGTGCAGGGTGTAAGGGGACACGCAGAAGTTGTGTCGGGAGAAGAGCGGTGCCTGACGGGCCGTCGGGGAGTCGAGCACCCAACGGAGCTGGCACGAACACGGCACGAAGTTTTCTGTCGGAGGGAGAAAGGAACGGCGGTCACGCTAGGGGAAGGGGGAACGGGGAAACGAGGAGAGAGAAAGAGAGAGAAAGAGAGAGAGAGAGAGAGAGAGAGAGAGAGAGAGAGAGAGAGAGAGAGAGAGAGAGAGAGAGAGAGAGAGAGAGAGAGAGAAGATAAATAGGTAAATAGAGAGAGTACTCGACCCAAATTCATCTCTTAAACATTCTTTAAACCTCAACCGAAATACACCTCTTAAAACTCTTTTAAACATCTTTTAAACCTCTCTTAAACATCCCCTAAACCTCGACCCAAATGCATCTTTTCAACTTCTTGTAAACCTCGTCATCATTTACCTCGCCACAAATTCTGCAGACGAAACTTTCCTTACCCGTGACGACCGAGCGCAGATTGGCCTGGATGCGAAAGGGTTCATGACGTGTGACCTGAAGGAAGTGGTTCCCTGTGACGATAACGCCGTCGACGTTGGACTCCTGGAGAATTTCCAGCGACTCCAGGACGTCGACCTGCGATTACCAGCCGGAGGAGCAAGAAGAGGAGGGGAATAAATGTGTGATGAAAGAGGTTATACTAATATGTTGTGTTATGGAAGAGAAAGTGAGAAATAGGAAAGAAAGAGAGAGGGGAAGGGGGAGGGAGAGGGAGAGGGAGAGAAAGAGAAAGAGAGAGAGAGAGAGAGAGAGAGAGAGAGAGAGAGAGAGAGAGAGAGAGAGAGAGAGAGAGAGAGAGAGAGAGAGAGAGGGAGAGAGAGAGAGAGAGAGAGGGAGAGAGAGAGAGAGAGAGAGAGAGGGAGAGAGAGAGAGAGAGAGAGAGAGAGAGAGAGAGAGAGAGAGAGAGAGAGAGAGAGAGAGAGAGAGAGAAGTGGGGGATACACACACACACACACACACACACACACACACACACACACACACACACACACACACACACACACACACACGCACATATATAGATAGATAGATATAGAGAAACAACAACAACTGCAAACATATATTGATCTATATCACCAAAAATAATCTGCACAAAACCCAAAGCCAACTCACCTTGTTACTTATTATCCGAAGCTCACCTACGTTCTGGAGTCCACTAAACGCCTCCTCACGCATCACGCCCAAATCAGATTCCTTTATGGAGATCTGGGTGACGTTCCTGAGACCTCTGGCGAAGAAAAAAGGAAGTTCAGACAAAAGGCGTCTTCTGCACGCGTTATGAAAGTTAATTCCGGACTAAAGTTAATCCAAATCCGCAGTTCTTGCACAGAATATGCAAGACACATTGCCAGGCGCACGAGTCAGTATCAGTAAATCTCCTGTTTCTCATGAAAAAGTGGGTCTCTGTAATGGCAATTAGCATTTATCCTCTATTAGTTGCATATTATACTCTAATGTCGATAAGGAAATGTTTGCTATACAGGAAAAAATATATACACATATATGCTAGTATTATATCATGCCGAGATATATCTGTGTACAAATAAAAGATATAAGGCAGCCGAAATGAAGGCGTCAACCAAAAATAAGATATTCGTAATATCAATTTATATTCACGGGAGTTTTCTCCAGGAGCTCTTTCTCATGTGTTATTGCGGGGCACGGGTAGGGTAACTTTTTTCACGGTGTTGCTAGCAAGGATCATGATTACAAATGACCACGTAGTTTTGAAGTCACTTTAGTTTTAAGAATCACTTTTACTTTTAATTTAAAACCTAATAGTAATGTTTATTGTCTGTGTCTGTAAACTCTGGAATTCTCAATGTTGAGAATGTTGAGAATTATGTCTGCAATTTGAATATCCCACAATTTATAAAAAAATGTATATTGATGAATTTTCACATACATCTTTGACATGAAAATGTCAAAATTTGTTTCGTTATTGTTTATTATAAACATTAATGGGAGCTCATCTCCATCTTTTCAATGGAGTTGATGACGTTGTCATGATGTATCAATAAATGATTGGTGGGATTAACTAGCTCGTTCTGCGCAAGTGTAGGATTAATCTTTGAGCTCAAAAGTAAATTCTGATCCAGATTTTTAAGATGAAAGACAGACAGATAGATAGATTGATAGAGAGAGAGAGAGAGAGAGAGAGAGAGAGAGAGAGAGAGAGAGAGAGAGAGAGAGAGAGAGAGAGAGAGAGAGAGAGAGAGTAATGTGAAATACACACCAACACATATACAAAAAAAAGGGAAATCAAAAACGAAGGAAAAATACACCCATACACACACAAAGACAACAGCAATAACTATAAGAAAATTAACGAAAAAAAGAGAGACGTAAAATACAAGAACAAAACAAAATAGGAAAAAGAAAAAAATAATAACGTTTCAAGTTGGACTGTTCTCCTCACCAGACGATGAAGACGCAGCTGAAAGAAGACAGAGGTGGGAAAGACACTCAAATTTTGATGCAGGTGAGGTGCAGAACCTTAAAAAGTCTAAGAAGTCATCTAAGGTGTCGTCCTTCTAAGGGCGTCGTCTTCGAAGGGGGTCATTTTGTAAGGGGGTCGTTAGAAGATGACCCCCTTAGAAGATGACCTCCTTAGAAGGACGACCCGTCAGAAAACTACCCCCTTAAAGACGACCCCCTTAGAAGATGACTCCCTCGGACACCTTAGAACATGATCCCCTTAGACTCCTTAGAAGACGACCTCTTAAAAGATAACCCCTTAAAAGACGTCCCCCCTAGAAGATGCCCCCCTGTAAGACTCATTTCACACATGGCCTCTCCCCAGGGAGGCTTGCTAAGAAAACCCAAATGTTTTTACTTAACCTTTATTGCAAGGGGACTCCCCTTTGCGGCCACTCGCAGCAGACTCCTTCCCTCACTCTACTATTGTCATACATATAACTCTAGTAACTTATAAATATATATTTAATGCAGTAGCACCAAACCTTTGCTCAACACGACGACCCGAGGCGCAAGGCCTCGGGTCGTCGCCCCGTTTACACGATCACATCCTTTCCTTCGCCTTCCAATACATCGCAACCCCTGTGTATTTCCTAGTTAAATCTGTATAAAAGAGGGTCGCCTGCGAGCGACAGACAGACAGCCTAGAGCACGCTGACCGGACCGACCCTCTGCCCGTCAGTTGTACCATACTCTCTCTCTCCAATGAACTCCTGCAAGTGAACAGAGAGTCTGCCACACCTTCCCCTCTACCCAAGATTACCGCTTCGTGCCAGACGCGCCTTGTCTGCCGCTATTCGGCCTCGTTAGAAGCCGACCCCGTAGAAGATGACCCCTTAGAAGCCGACCCCGTAGAAGATGACCCCTTAGAAGCCGACCCCGTAGAAGATGACCCCTTAGAAGCCGACCCCGTAGAAGATGACCCCTTAGAAGCCGACCCCGTAGAAGATGACCCCCTTAGAAGCCGACCCCGTAGAAGATGACCCCCTTAGAAGCCGACCCCGTAGAAGATGACCCCCTTAGAAGCCGACCCCGTAGAAGATGACCCCCTTAGAAGCCGACCCCGTAGAAGATGACCCCCTTAGAAGCCGACCCCGTAGAAGATGACCCCCTTAGAAGCCGACCCCGTAGAAGATGACCCCCTTAGAAGCCGACCCCGTAGAAGATGACCCCCTTAGAAGCCGACCCCGTAGAAGATGACCCCCTTAGAAGCCGACCCCGTAGAAGTACGAACTGTTAGAAGGACGACCCCTTAGACGATGGCCCCTTAGAGGAACGACCCCTAAGAAGACGACCACCTTAGATGAAACCTTAGACGACACCCTAAAGCGACCACTTTAGAAGACGGCGTCCTTAAAAGGACGACCCCTTAGAAAACGACCCCCTTAAATGACTCCTTAGACAAGCACCTTTGAAGACGATCACCTTGGAGGACGACCCCTTAGAAGGGCGACACCCTGAGAAGATGACCCCCTTAGAAGGTGACCCTTTTGAAGGACAACCCACTTAGATTACCCATTAGACGACCCACAAAAACTAACCTATTAGAAGATGACCCCCTTAGATTATCCACTAGACGACCCACTAAAATAACCCAATAGAAGACGACCCCTTTAGACGACCCGCTTAGACGACGCCTTTAGAAAACAGCCCCCTTCGAAAACGACCCCTTAGAAGACGACTCCCTTAGAAGACGACCCCTTAGAAGACGACTCCCTTAGAAGACGACCCCTTTAAAAACGACCCCATTAAAAGATGACCCCTTTAGAAGGTCGACCCCTTAGAAGACAACCTCCTTAGAAAACGACCCCTTTAAAAAACGACCCCATTAAAAGATGACCCCTTGAGAAGGTCGACCCCTTAGAAGACAACCCCCTTAGAAAACGACCCCTTTAAAACGACCCCATTAGAAGGTCGACCCCTTGAGAAGGTCGACCCCTTAGGAGACAACCCCCTTAGAAAACGACCCCTTTAAAAACGACCCCATTAGAAGGTCGACCCCTTAGAAGACAAACCCCTTAAAAAACGACCTCATGTTTCCCCACTTTGCCTCACCTGAAAGTGTGTGGTCGTAAGGCGTGAAGATCGAGACTATGCAAGCACAAAAGGCCAACTCCCACCATATCGTAGAAAGCATCGGATTCAATTACCTGGAATATTATTATTATCATTATTATTTTTATTATTATTAGCATTATTATTACTATTATTATTATTTTATTATTATTATTATTATTATTATTATTATTATTAGCATTATTATTATTATTACTACTAATATCACTATTATTATTATTACTACTAATATCACTATTATTATTATTATTATTATTATATTATTATTATTATTATTATTATTATTATTACTAATATCATTATTATTATTATTATTATTATTATTATTGTTATTGTTATTAGCATTATTATCATTTTTATTATTACTATTATTGATACTATTATTGTTCTTCTTATTATAATTATTGTTGTTATTATTATTATTATTATTATTATTATCATTATTATCATAATTATCATATCATAATTTTGTTTTTATTATTATCTATATTATCATTATGATTATCATTATTATCATTACTACTGTTATTATTATTAATGGCATTATCATTACTATCATCACTATTATTATAATTAATATTATCATTATCATTATTATCGTTATCCTTATTGTTACTATTATTTATCATAATAATTACCATTATTATCATTATTACTGTTATTGTCATCACTATCATTATTATCATCATTATCATTCTGATAGTGATTATATACATATATATATATATATATATATATATATATATATATATATATATATATATATATATATATATATATACATATATATATATATATATATATACATATATATATATATATATATATATATATATATATATATATATATATATATATATATATATATATATATATATATATATATATATATATACATATAATGATAATGACAGTGATAATGATAATATTGATGATGATAATAATAATAATAATAATAATAATAATAATAATGATAATAATAATGGTAATGTATATATATATATATATATATATATATATATATATATATATATATATATATATATATATATATACACACATTATAGATATACACTCATGTGTGTATGTATGTATATTATATATCATACATACATACATGTCATCACTATCATTATTATCATCATTATCATTCTGATACTGATTATATACATATATATATATATATATATATATATATATATATATATATATATATATATATATATATATATACACACATTATAGATATACACTCATGTGTGTATGTATGTATATTATATATCATACATACATACATGTCATCACTATCATTATTATCATCATTATCATTCTGATACTGATTATATACATATATATATATATATATATATATATATATATATATATATATATATATATATATATATAACATATATGTGTATATGTATAATATATATACATATATATGTGTATATATATATATATATATATATATATATATATATATATATACATATATATATATATATATATATATATATATATATATATATATATATATTTATTTATATATATATAATATATATACAAATACATATATACATATATAATTAAAAAAAGAAAAAAATATATATATATGTGCGCGCGTGTGTCTGTGTGTGTGTGTGTGATTGTGTGTGTATGTGTGTGTGTGTGTGTGTGTATGTATATATGTGAATATATATATGTATATATATATATGTGTGTATATATATATACATATATATATATATATATATAAATATATATATATATATATATATATATATATATATATATATATATATATATATATATATAT